CAAGCACTGCTGTTGCCATTTTACGGATATTTCATCCACAAGATCGACACCCATGTATACGCGCGGTTTTTAGGACTTTCATCGTGGACACATAAGCCAACTTATTTGATGTAACAACAACTTTCTCCCAGATTCACCCCTTTCTCTCAAGACAATATACATTTTCCATGTGTAAAATGTGAAAAAATGCCAATGCAAATGGATGAGAAAATAGTTTCAATTTACCTAATCCTCATGCAATTTCTATAACAGTCATAGCTATCCTCTACCGATAGCCCCAAAACAAATATCTCTAAACAATTAGATAATTTCAATAAAGACAAACTTTTAAAATTTCAAGATGTGAGTGATAATACATATCCAACTCCACCATTCTCATTCATAACAACTCAATTGCACTATTTCAATATCAATTTCATTTATGAATACAAAATCAACATTTGAAATTTCTAGGGCAAAATCCCTCTTTCCTTTATAAACCATTTCTCAATAAACCATTTGAAAACCCATCCTTTTGATTTTGAACCAAAACCTAAGATTTGTTCAAAAATCCACTCTTTTACAATTTTGCGTTATAAAAACAAATAAACAAGTTAAAACTCATAAGGAAGTGCAGAGAATGCCTATCTCAAGCTTAGATGGTGGAAGAGAAGAACTCGAAAAAACTCAACGTCAACGAAATCACGAACCACTCGAATCAAAAGAAAGCCCTTGACACGATCTACATTCTATCTCAGAGGATTATAATGAAAGGATACCTCTAAGTGAGTAGATCTAAGGATCTAAGTGGGAAAAATAGAGTTTAAAGAGAGAAAAGGGTGGTTTACGGTTAAAGAGGGAGAAAAAGGAGTAACAAATGGAGGAAATGTGCTTTTGGTTCTATTTATAGGGACTAGGTATTAATAGAATAATAGCTCCAAAGTCAAATGAAAAGAACAAGTCAAAAATTACCAAAAAGTAGGGCCCAAGCCAAACAAAAATCAAGAAAAGACTCACAGGGGTCAACCCTCAGGACAGTGGTGTTGACCCTCAAGAAGAAAAAGCTGAGATATAAATGTTGGCTACAAACAAGGGTTGACCCTAACCATGGTGTCGACCCTATTTTTCATTAGACAACCTAGAACAAAACAACAAGGAAATGTTCGACCCTAGGAACCCATGGTGTCGACCCTATTTTTCAGTAGAAATTTCCAAGATTGAGCATCAAGATAGTGTCGACACCACCCAAACTGATGTCAACCCAGAGGCCAACAACAGGACAAGTGTCGACACCTAAGACTGGTGTCGACCCCAGAAGTAGAACAAAACAAAGAAAATGAGGCAATGTCGACACCACCAATGATGGCGTCAACCCTCGAAGCCAAAACCCAACATGAAGACATAAAAGGACGACCGCTACGGATATGGTTTTCCAGATTCAAAAGTAATAAATGGGTCGGGTCTAAGCCTGGATCGCTATATGCACTGGATGATCTTCTTCCTTTAGTGATTTGCCATTTTGGTTATCATCTGTTAGTATGATGGCTTCTTGTGCAGCCATGGTGTCACGACCCAAATCTACCCCTAAAAGTTTAGGCCATGACCGACTTGTATTTAGGCCTCAAAAAAGAGAAAAAAAAAATCACAACATTCAATAATGGGGCCTAAAGCAGAAGCAAATAAATAACAGAACATCCATTGAGCAGTGCTTATATGCCAGGATTAAGCATGTCATATAAAGAGTTCACATTCACAGTTCTTTTGTATACAAGTTCCAGTCATACAGGTACATACAAAAAGTTCATGACCCAAAATTACATATTGACCAAGTGTTCAATAAAAACTACCAAAGACTTAACAAAAATATGGTATCAAGGAACTCCTCTGTTAAAAAAAAAAAAAGGTTCCAATTTATGGAGGCATAACAAAACAGGTGCATCAAAAGTTTCTTGAAGCTGACCTATGACTGGCCTCCAAGCTGATCACCTACATAAACTTATATAATTACGTAGTGAGCAAGGCTCAGTGAGTAATAATAATGTAAGGAGGTTTATAAATATAAGCATATGGCTTGAAGAATAGATATACAACATACACATGTCTGAACCATAATCATATTCCAAAATGGCCTCGGGCCCACATAAGACGGAGCGACCTTAGGCCCAACATAATACGGAATGGCCTTAGGCCCAACATAATACGAAACGACCTTAAGCCCAACATATCAACAGCTATTTTGAACATTATAGGGTAGATGGAACATCGGCATGTCTCCATCTCCCTTAGCCTTGGGGCCTTTAATCATAAACAATCCATATCAGACATAACAGCCTCAGGCCCATCATACATAACGAAAACAGAACGATCTCGGGTCCATTTCATGTGCCCTTGTAGTCCAATGTTCAATCATTCCCAGTAAACACATAACTTGTATAAAACATGTTAAAATACATAAGCATAACATATCGTTACACTACTATTACTCACAGTGATTTGGTCGAGCAACGGTCCCTTCCGGCAAGTGACCTTGAGCTAAATCTTTGAATTAATCTTGTAATTTCTTCAATCTCCAAGCTCTTGGTTGAATTCTCATTTCTCTCTCTCTCTTTTCTCTTCTTCCTTTCTCTAGAAACTCTTCCCAGGAGATATTTTTGTTTTATTTAGTCTAAATGTTAACTCTAAGGCGTATATATATCTATACTAACCAAGGTTAAGCTTATTTGAGCCTAAGTTGGGCTTAATTAAAAGGTTTAGCCAAATAATTCCAATTAATTCATTACGAATCAAATTTTTACAAAATTTCATATTAAGTCCTACAAATCATGCAAATCATAACTGTCAAGTCAATTTCGATTAATTGCGCCTTTAAGGCTTTCAATTTTCAATCCAAATGTTGTAATTTCAACATATTTCCTCATAACCAACAGATACAAATTGATAAACATGTAATTCACAGATTAAAACATGGAATTTTACATCAAACACAGCCACACATATAATCTCACAAATAATGAGGGAATTAAAGCATATGAGAGGGTCGAATTATTACACATGGTCTGACTGAGATACTTTTGGAGAGAGAAATAGCTTAGTGCACAAGAAGACTACGATGGTTGGCCTAATATCACTTATGTGATTTTTCAAAAAACCAAATTAAGGGCTCACTTTATATAATAGTAAGTGTGGATAGTATAGATAGATATTGTAAATATAGGGGTTCAGCATGTGCTAAAATATTATCCTATTTTAGTTATAATTGTCTTATTTGGATTACATCATCTCAAATTCAATTCATATTTTACATTTTTTTTTATAAAAAATTAAAAAATATATTTATTTAGATCATTCTAAATATCCCAATAGTTTGTAAGCTAGGGAGGGTGGGGGGAGTTGGGCTTAAAACATTCTTCTCAAGCCTGACTCATATAATATTTGAACTTAAAAAATTTGTCCAACCCTCGCTTATAGGCTTAAAATCCCAAAATGAACGAACTTAGCAGGCTATCGAGTCCATATCTACCGCTAGTAGGTAATTAGTAGAATTTTAATTAATTTATTGTATGTCTGTATTATTATTATTATTATTATTATTATTTGTGCTTGTTAAAACATTTTCAACCCTTTATTCCCCTCTTCCCCCTCTAAAATTTGTTAAAAATTTATTTAGTTTTTTTTTAAAATTTTTTTTATATAACTTACTCAGAGAGTGTAAATCAAGTTACTCATCAAATTTTAAAAATACTTAATCTATTTCAAAAATCTCATTTAATTAATTCAAGTATAATTCTTCATATTTTAACAATTTTGTTACAAATAAAAAACAATAATTCAGTGTGTTTGGTTTGAGATTTTTGAATTAATATTTTTGAAAATTGAGTTTTTTGGTTTTTGTATTTTTTTGTTTTTAGTAAATATTTTTAAAATTTTAAACTTTTTTTTTTTTATTTTTTTAGATGCACCTTACTTAATATCTAAAAAGTAAAAAATTGGTGAAAAAATATTTAAAAAATTAATAAATATATAAAAATACAAAAAAATGTATTGAATTCTCTTTTTTTTTTTGTATTTTTGGTGTTTAGTGAATTTTTAAAAGGTTTTTTTCACATATTTTTTACTTTTTAGGCATATTTATGTTAGGTATGTTTAAAAATTAAAAAAAAAATTGCTTAAACTATTAAAAAAAATTCAATAAAAACAAAAAAATACAAAAAACAAAAAAATATAGAATTTTCTGAAACATAATTTGACAAAACATAATAAAAACTTGAATCATACAAGTTTAACGAAAAATTGAATCTCATAACTAGGAGTGTTCGCGATTCGGTTGTGATTAGGGAACCTTTAATTGCCGGATTAGTGGATTGGAAAAAATCAATCTGCATTTGTCCGTCGGATTGATGGATAATTGCAAATCGGTTTGGCGGTTTAAATTTTTACAATTTTTAAATATAATACAACAACGTGCTAACATTTTTGTTTGAATAACAATCCAACTCAACATAACCAACAGATTATCAAGTAAATTGTTAAATATCAATAATAAATACATATAAGAAAATCATGTATTATCAAAACTATTTCATTAATTTTTTTTATTCAAAAACTATTTAATTTGATTTTTTTTAAAATGACAAAATTAAACCTTATATTTTTCACACAAAAATATCAAATATCAATACTTACCATTTGATAAAAAGATTTCTAAATTGAAAATAAATTAAAAACACAATAGAATATTTAAACTATTTTTTAATTGAAAATACAAATATAATATTTAATCAAATTAAAAACACAAAATCTTATAAATTATTAGGGGTGCTCACTGTTTGGCGGTTCAGTTGTGATCAAAAGAACATCAAATCTACCATTTGTCTAAAATTAGGCAGATTAAAAAAAATCAACCTATCATCATTCACTTATCCTCATACATTGATCAATTTAAATAAATCAAAATATTCGCGGCTCAACCCTACCTACAACCATCAAAATTTTCCCTTCCACAAAAAAACCACCAAAATTTTAAATTGGATGTAGGTTTTGGTGTAGAATTGGGGGAGAGAGGCCTAATTTCAATTTCAATAGTAATTGAGAATTTTAAATGAATTGGGCGTGACCAAGAAAGAATCCTACCCACCATGTGCCTTATCGCCTCTTCCTCCGCCGTCGCCGCCGCATTCCCGCCAAAACCCCTCATTTCACCACCACCACCACCATCGAACGATCAAAACCATAAACTTCGTCGTTTTAGAATCAATATCTTCCGCAGAGAAGCCATTGCAGTCTCATTCCTAGCTCTCGTCCCTTCCCTCCATCAACCTTCCCCTGCAATCGCATTCTCTATCGGCATCTGTACGCAGTCTCTCTCTCTCTCTCTCTCTCTCTCTCTCTCTCTTCACTTTCTTCTGCAACAATTATTTTCGTTTTTGTGTTTCTTTGTTGAAAACCTAAACCTAATTTTTTTGTTTTTAAAATGTGTGTCGATTCTTTTATTCAAATTGCTCAGCAGGACCAAAAGATTGGCTGAGAGAGCAAAAGAAGAAGTCTTCCAGGTTCGTCTTGGCTCCCATCGACGCTTCCCGCAACACTCTCCGTGCTGCTTATCTCTTACTAAGTTCCTCTCTCTCTCTCTCTCTCTCTCTCTCTCTCTCTCTATATATATATATATATAATATACATACTATCAACACTATTATATAAAACACACAACACTGTTGTGTGAACATCTGTTTTCTCCATTTTCAATTGTGGTCATGGGTTCAAGCCTTGTCCATCTCTTTGTTTAATTTTTTTTTTTAAAAATAAAAAAAAAGACTGCCACATGGCATGAGGAGAGTAAAGCAAGCTTCAGGACACCATATTATGTGTTCACTTTATAATAGTATATAATAGTATAGATATATATATAATATACATACTATCAACACTATTATATAAAACACACAACACTGTTGTGTGAACATCTGTTTTCTCCATTTTCAATTGGTGATTCTATTTGCACACTACACTTGGTCTCAGTACACACCTATTTCTGCTGTTTGAATATCAACTTCGGAGCAAAATACAAATGTTCAGATTTCTACTTCCAATCTAAATACAAATGTTCGGATATCAACTATTGAATGCAATTTTTGTTCGAACAATTGATTTTTTATATTCAAACATTTTGATTTTGTTCCGAAGTTGATATTCAAACAGCATAAATAGTGTGTATTGAGATAAAGTATGGTGTACGGATACAATTACCCTGTTCAATTGGTGTAAACTGAAGCACTTTTTTCTCATTCCCAAATTACCATTTACAACTGCTTTGGTTTTGATTTTGAATTTTAAATTTTAATAAATTTTCATTTTTTTTTAATTTTTTTTTTTTATCATACATTCAATTGGGTGAACATGTCTTTTGGTGTCTTGAAGATTTTGCTTCTCCTCATGTCACATGGCACGCATTTCTCTATTATCAAGAAAAAATTAGATAGCTAAGTGCATGGGATTTGAAACCAAGACCTTGATCTTGGAAAAGAAAATTTTTACCACTTGAACCACACACATACTATGATATTAATTGATTTATCATTTATTTTTTTTTGTACTTACTTGAATTGCACATGTATCGTGTGTGCCAACTGCTAGTATTATATAAAACATACACCTCAATTACTTTTTCACAGATGCCCTTTCACCTAAAAAGTGCCACTTCTTCCCATTCAGTAACTGTGACATTCAATAACCCTTTTAATGATTTTCCTCCTTCATCAAATTGTTCAAAATTGCTAATTAGTTTTCTTTGATCATCAAACTATCCAAAAGTTAAATATAAAATTATTATATATATATATATATATATATATTTATATAATCTATGTATGTGTTGTGTAATTTGATTAATTTGGATTGCAATTGACAGCAAAGGGCGATTCTGATTATGGAGACAAAGACTTGGAAGAAGTTCAGAGGTTGCTCAGATCTGCTACTATGGATTGCGTTCCGCAAGAGAGGAATTCTTTTGTTACCTTTCAAGCTAAAACAGGAGTTGAGGTTTCACATTCTTTCTGTAGTACTACTCTTCTGGTTTTCTTATGGTTTGGAATTTAAACCACAATCTCAGATGTATATGGAAAAAATTTTAAGCTCATCTTCACAATTGGGTTTTAAAAATTCTATTTGTCAAGAATGCAATAATATTCCTCTAGACATGACATGTAAGAGGGACAATTTCATGGTTTTATGATTGTTTGGGTTATTGTTACATGAACTTGAAGAAGATGATTTCTTGAGGTTGTCTCTTTCATGGTTTTTGCAATCCAATTGGATATTGGAGAACTGGAGAGAAAGGAAACGATTTCTTACTTACCGCAAAAAAAGGGGAGAGAGTGAGAGAGAGAACACTTGAAATGCATCAAACTAGGTCATGGAAGATTATGAGATATGGGGAATGCCAATTTTACATGCACCTAATTACATAAATAGTTTAGTGGAGCATCTATAAATAACTAGAAATAGGAGGAGAGAAAAAATGCTTATTTTATTGTCTTAAACTCAATTATCAGGTTAATTTGTGCAATTCACAGGTTTGTACATTCCGCTTGGTTGTGAAGAATGCATCATCATTACTTGATGACAATGATCCAATAAAATTGGAAGCTGAAGCTAGTCTTAGGGATCTCGTAAGGTATGCTAGTGATGTCTCTTATTTTCCTAGCCCCATTACTTGGATCTTTAGGCATGCCAAGATGCACAGGTCATTGTAGGGGGCTTTAACTTGTCTTCGATGCTTTCCAATACATGAATGTTGTTTGCATTTCCGGCCAAGTGATAGTTACTAATTAAATTGTATGGCATATCAGCTTACTCATTAATAATATTATGGCTTTGTTCGGTGTGAGTTGAGTTTCATATTACTTATACTAAATATTTATGAATTTAGGCTTTTGATTTGGTCATTTCCTGTCTCTTCTACAGGCATCAGCACTTAATAATGTGCAGTGTCTTACAATAGTCATGGTCAATTTGATTGAAAAAATAGTTAATGATTTTCCTAAGTTGATTTATTCAATTGCTGCTGATGCAGAGCTATTTCAGTGGCATAAACCATGAATATGTGAGTGTCACGGAACAAACATTTTTCAATGGACCAACTTGTGTGAAAAGAATCCATATATTTCAAAGCTTTTGCCTGTATATTAAGTGACTAATCTTATTTTTGAGTTGTTTCCAAATGTGTATAATTTTTTTTAAACATGATTGCAGGTCATTTACCTCTCTCAATGCTGTGGCAAATGATACTGATATCCAATTACCTTCCAGTAGGTCTGTGTATTATATGAAATTCAGAAATTGTTACAGAAGTTTTCAGTCATTTTGGAATTGTTTCATATGGGTGATGGTGTATGGAGGTGTTTTTCTTTGTTGCCACTTAAACTACCTTGTTAATCTCATTACAGTTGTCATAGAATATGCCGACTTGCAAATGGTTGCCACTCACCTCAACTCTGGGTTGAAACGTGATTTCGTCTTTTAGTTTGTCGAATCAGTCAACATCATCACAACCACAAACCACCTTTGTCATCAGCTTCATTACAATTAATTAACATAGGAAATGCCAGTAGAAGTAATTCTAGTAGCAATTGATGTTATTATTATACAAACCTTAAAATGATCACATACAATTGAAGTTAAAAAATTTTGTTTTAGGCAAAAACCCTGTTTTCTTCTCCTCACTGATATAAAAAGAAAAATTGTTCTGGAGTGGAGTTTGGGCTTGATCTGGTAAGGGAAATGCTTGGAGTAGTGAATGGAACTGGTATATTCCCTTGCTAGCTGATGTAAAATTAGCTGTTTAGAAATAGTACAGAGGTTGAGCTTTATTATGTTGGAGTCGAAGAAGGATTATGGTGTTTCACATAAGCTAGTGGATGATTTTTGTGACTTTTTCTGGTGTAACTGGCAGTTATCAGCTCATAGTTGGTTAAACCTTGAAAACAACCTTTCGAGAGGCACAAATATAGGTTTTGGCTAGTAGCATATGTTATTCAAAGTGGTAAGTGCAGGAACCATCATTTGATCATACATACCATTCCATTTTATGGTCTTTTTTATGTGTGCCATAAATTATAAGGGAAATACATGCGACTGACTAATCCATTAGATGTTGGCAGGGTGGAAGAGATAGCACTTGTCTAAGGATGGTCAACTTACTCTTATGAAGTATATTTTATTGAGCTTACTTGCGTACTTTATATCCTTGTATACCATTCCTCTTTTGATGGCAAGGAGATTAGAGAAGTTGCAGTTGGATTTTTTGTGGGGGTGTTACGGAGCTGCTTAAATAACATCTTATGGTTTGGGACACAATCTGTACTTTGACAAGGGAGGGTCGGTTGGGATTTGGGAATTAGGAGGTTGTATATCTTTAATGCGTGCTTTGAAAATTTGCAAGTGAAAGAGATATATGTTGGAGGAGGGTGTTGACATTTGAGAATGGTATTTTTTTTGGGTCATTGAACCACTTTGGAGGTAACTATGTCTCATGGGAGAGGCTCTTGGACTGGTGTTCATCAATTTTGGGATGATTTTTTGAAATTTGTGAATTTCAAGGTGGGGATGGGAGATAGTGTGGAGTTTTGGGGGCAAAGGTGGTGTGGAGAGGATGTGTAAGAAAGAGCATTTCCTTTTGTTTTCCTCCATGCCATTGATAAAGAAATTCAAATGGCTAAATTATCTTTCGGTGCGGGTATTCAATCTTTTACTTATTTATTTATTTATTTATTTTTTTTTTTTTTTTTTTTTGGGGGGGGGGGGTTGATGTTGGGTTGAGAAGGAATGTGCAAGACTTGGAAATGGATAAAATGTTCAACCTTCACAACATGCTTTGGCTTCGTTTGGGAAGAAGGGTTGGGTTGGGTTTGGGGCTATTTTAGCCACAAAAAGATAAAATAGATTTTTTAGTCCAGTAAGACAAAACATCACATCTAACCTATAATCATTACATTCTTTCTTTCACAAAAAGTCAAAAAAGTCAAAAAATCATTTCCAAATGAGACTTTTTATCCCTAGGCTAAAATAGCCAAAAAGCCAACCCACTTCCCAAACAAAACCCTTTATGGGCTTAGAGGCGTTTGTAAGGAATTATTAGTATGGATTGTTGTTAAGACAGAGATTTGAGGTTAAATCCTTTTAGGGGCTTTGATGACAAATAGAGGGGTGTCTTGCCTTTGGAGAGGCATTTTGATGGTTGGAACTCCATCTAAGGTTGTTTTCTTTGTGGAACAAAAAGATCTTGACTATAGATTAATTTGATTAGGAGGCAACAAGATATTATAAATTATTGTTGCCTTTGTGAGTGTGATAGTGAATATCTTTTGTGGGAGCCGAATAATTTCAATTAGGAAGCGGCCGACTTTGTTCGACGTTCGGCTAAAGTAATTCGGCCTTGACCAAGGACAAAGCCGAATAAAGAGCCGATCAGGGCTTAACATTCAATAGGAAGGCCGAATAGGTAACCACATGCGAGAGATCGAGAGTGGGCCTAACCCTCAGGCCCAGAGGTAATATAAAAAGAGAGGAACGCCAACTAAAGCAGGTATGTGAGAATAGACAAAATAACTTGAGACAGAAGCAAATTTGAGAGAATACTAACTTATTCGTCGGAGTGCTAATTCCAGCAACTCCGACCGGAGTGTTCATCCCCTTTTCAGGTAGCAATCAGAGGATCAAAGACGTCTAGCTGGATCTTGGGGTATTTCCAAACCACTTCTCTACAATTGGCGTCGTCTGTGGAAATATTCAAGCGCATCCATGGCTGGCGTAACAGATGATCCTCCGGTAGTTGCTGACGACGTTACACCAAGAGATGACATCACTCCAAGAAACATGCTTGGACTGAAGAATATCACCATTCTACGGGCCTTGAACTTCGACTCAATAGCTCAGACCTCACCCTCAACTTCGATGCAAGAGACTATGCAGACAATCATGGATCAAGCAAAGCGAAATGAACAGCGTCTAAAAGATATGATGGCTGAAAACAAGCGGCTGTGCCAGGAATTGGCCCTGGAGTTAGCCAAATCCCAGCAGGTCACATGCCATGATCGAGGTTGATCCCCAGAAAAGAAGGATAATCGATGACGTCGACTTCGGAAACATGATAATGGCAGTGATTTTGACTCACCATCTCAAGAACCCAAAAAGAAGGGACGAGTTGATGTATCTAGTTCATTTGAAGGAAGTCTGTACGTACGGCATAAGCGAGGGAAAAGAAGTGATGATTCGAATGAAGAAGACATGCATGACCCTTTCGTGCGACGTATCACAAGGGTTGTGCTGCCCAAGAAGTTCAAAGCACCGTCGTTCACCCTATATGACGGAAAATCAGATCCCATTAACCATATTCGTTATTATAAACAAGCGATGACGTTGCATGCTGATGATGAAGCCCTCATGTGTCGAATGTTTCCAAGTAGCTTGGGACCTTTGGCCGTCAGATGGTACTATAAACCTGTGTTACATGAACTCGCCACTTTCGGGCGAAGTACCTGTGTCGACACGACACGACACGGGTGCGGGTGTGGGATCTGTGTCGGATTCGCCTATTCTTTTTCGGACACGGCTCTTTACAGTGCAAAAGAAATGAAAAAGGTGAGAGCAAGAGAGAACCTGGTCGAACCAGTCGAAGATCGAAGACCTCGATTGAGCTCCATCCTTTCGATCCAGTCGAAGATCGCAGCTGCATCAGTCGATCGAACAGCCGAACACCCAGACGACTTCAAAAAGCCTCTCTCTCTCTCTCTCTCTCCCTCTCCCTCGCAACTATTATTATTATATATTACATAATAATTATTATATAACATATAATATATTTATAAGATAATATATATTTATATATATTAATAAAAAAATAAAATAAAATAAAATAAAATAATTAATTGAAACACATTATTTAAAAAATAAAATAAATAAATAAAATAATTAATGTATATTAAAATAAAAATATTTATAAAAAAATTAAAAAATTTCCCGTGTCTCCTGTCGTGTCCGTATCCCCATTTTTCAAAAATTGTCGTGTCCTGTGTCCGCGTTATAATAAATATATTTTTTTAAAAAAATTATTTAACGTATCCCCGTACCCGTATCCAAATTTGGATACATATCCATGTATCCTTAATTTTTAATTTTGAAGTGTTCGACCCCTAGATACGCACCTGCACCCGATACTCGTACCCGAGTCTGTGTAACTTAGCTATAAACTGGAGCCAGCGTCAATAAGAAGCTTTCATCAACTCCAAAAATCCTTCAGGGCAAGATTTATCACCAACGAAGTTCAGCCGAAGCAGGCCGACTCTCTTTGGGCCATGCAAATTAAACCAAAAGACTCTCCGTGAGTATTCGGCGCGTTATTGGGAATGTTTCAACTTGGTGGATGATACCTGCAATGATTCCATGGCCATTACCGCCTTTAAGATGGGATTACATCCTGATAGCCCCCTACGCAGCTCATTGACTAGAAGGCCCCCCAAAACAGCTTAGGCGTTAATGAAAAAAGTTGAAGAATATTGTAAGGTGGAAGATGATGGCCTGCGGGTCAAGGCCGGGCAAAAAGTTGCTAAATCAGCTTCGTCTGGTCCAGTTCAACCGATAAGCGCCATGCCATCAAGGATCCCCAAACCTTGGACTTGGGCTAAACGAGACAAAAGGTGTGATGCGCCATTCAAGCGATCAGTGTTCGCACCGATCAAATGAACAGTATCAAGTGGATAGCAGGCGCACAAGACGTTCAGATAAGAAATACACGAAATTGGCAGAGCTGATCGGTAAGATCTTACCCAAAGTCCAACACCTTCCATTCTTGGCAACTCCGACCGGAGTGTTTATCCCTTTTTTTAGGTAGCAATCAGAGGATCAAGGACGTCTGTTTGGACCATGAAGTATTTCCAAACCACTTCTCCACATCTTTCTACATGCTAATTGCATGCACCCTAGAGATGCGGTGGGGATCTTGCATGGCTGGTGGGGAGGAAGGGTGAAAAAGCATAGACGAAGAGTGGTTGTTACATATGTGCCTATATGGGGTGAGCGAAACAAGAGGACCACTCAAGGAGTGAAGGAGACTCTTTGCATAAATTTAAGGGTTTCTTTTTGGATAAATTGTATAGTTAACCGCGGAAAGGATTTCTCAAATATTAATATTCTTATAGATTTTGTCGACTCCCTTGACTAGTAAGCATTGATAGGCTTTTTTGTCTTTTGATTGTATAGGCCTTCTTTTGTTTGGGCGGTGAAAGTTTATGGCTTAACTAGTTTTCTTACATGGGTAGCACCCCTTTTGATGCTTTTAAAAATAACTTGCTTTACTTATGAAAAGAAAAAGCTCTCTCCACTTGAACCATGTCAACTCGGTATTATTGTTGATGAGCAACTTTGTTTAACACTAATTTTGTAGTAGATAGACTTAGTGAGTAGATCTTAATCAGTTATGGGTTCTAGTTTGGGTGGCCAATGATTGGAATGTGACGGGCCAGTGAAAACATTAATTGCTGAAGCTATGGTGGTTTGATCTTGTGTGCTTTGGTTATAATTTGTTGCTGTGAGGAGAAGGGTAGTGACCATGGGTGCTCAGCTGGTGTTTTCATAACTGGAGGTGTTACCGGTGCTGCTATCGTGAGATAGAGGGTGACGGCAGCATCATACACGTTAGAGAGAGGACTAGACTGGGTTGACTGCCTCACCTTCACATGTATGATCTATTTGTTGTCTCTATGGGCTAGTTGATGCCACATGGGCTTGATTTCAATGGGTTGTACTTGTATGCGGATGTCAATGGAGCAGATTTTCTTTGGATTTGGCAATCCCAACCCCACACAACCTTGCCGCCCCCTGTTTCTGCCCCGACCACGGGGCAAAGTTTTTCCCTTGCTCTCACACATTGGGTATTCGAACCCGCCCTGATCACCTGACTAAACCAGACTAGTATGCTCTTGTCATAATAGAGAAGTTAAACAATGGTTGAAGCAAAAGTGATATTTTTAGTTGTCTTACATAGATTTTATTACATTATACAAACTTCTTATAGAGTATTCGTTTCTTTTCTTTTTAGATTCAAGACATCTTATAAACCTGTCTTTTAGATGTTTAGCACATATTTTTATTAGAAATTGATACTTCTTATATCCAAGTCTTATAATCTTTAATTTTTTTTTTTATTCCAGGCAACTTGTAAACCTGTCTTTTAGACTTTTGGCACTTTTTTATTAGAAATTGATATTTCTTATATCCAAGTCTTCTAGTCTCTAATTTTTATTTTCCTTTTAGTCTTCTAGTCTTTAATTATGGTACATACTTCTGTAGTTTTTAACACTTAGCACAATACTAGTCTTTTAGACTTCCAGAGCTAGAATATATATTATCACTTAAATATATAATATAAAAATATAATGTTTACTTACATATATGGGTTAGGGTCGGATCAAATGATGCATCCCCTCCCCCATTTCAGAAGGAGAAAAATGCACATGCTTTCGCTCCATTTTTTTATTTATTATTGGATAGGGTAAAATCTTCCCCATTCGCATTAGGTGGGGTCAGGTCCTCACGGGGCCCGGGCAAAATGGCCATCCCTATGCTTCTAAGGTTATTTTTATTTTTATTTTTGTTTTATCCATGTATTTGTGTTAGGTCTAGCCAGTTTGAGCTTTGAGAGGGTTATGTTAAATGGCTAGGTTTGGGTCATTTTATCTCTTGCTTAGAGAAGTGTACCCCATTGTGGTATTTATCAAAAAAAAAAAAGAAAAAAAAGAAAGTGCATCCCATTGTAGGTTGTATGTACTTGCAGGTATGTGTTCTCAGCTTCGTTGTAATATCTTGTTTTTTTGGACACGTCACTTATCCAAAAAAAAAGAAAAGAAAAGGGTTTGACATTTGCAACAAAATAAACTCTATTTTAATTTTGTTAATTTAAATCCCAAACTTTTGATTTATCTAAAGCATTTGCCTCAATGAAAAATGGTATTTTAGACATTTTATGTATAGATACATTGAGTTAAAATACTAAAATATCATTTTTCTGTCGATGTTACTTAATGGAAATATGCTAATGGTTTGAATTGAAAACAAATCAAAAGAATAGGGTTTAAATTGATAAAATTAAAAATCCAGGGTTTATTTTGTTACAAGGGTCATTTTGGGAATTTTATTTATTTATTTTTTATTTTTTGTAATTTTCTCCCCCCGAAAAAGATTTTGTAGATCTTCACTGTGAAGTTGAATTCTGTAATAGTTAAATCTCCCATCCATAGAAGTTTAAGTGAAACTATGAGCCTCTCAAATGTTCCATTTACTATTCTTTGCTAATACCAAGTTTATTTGTCTCCTTTGATACAGGCAGAAGGTGGCAGATGCACTCATGGACACAATTTCTTCCCTAAACAAATTCGAGCAGGGTGTCATGGATTGCCTTGAAATTTGATCGTTTTATTTCCTCCAGAGTTAAAGATATTGTGGTTCATGTTCTGGGTGAAGGTTTCTAAAAGTTGCTTCTATCTATAGAGTTGAAGACAGTGAGTCGGCCCTTAGTCACCTGTTCAAATTTTCCGTGTAGCTTAGGATTTTGGTTGAACTTCTCTTCTTTGCTAGCCAGTTTTGTTTTTCTCAGTAGATTGTCTATTATTTTATATATGCATGGTATCTGCAGACTCATTTTCTATACCGGCCTTTAGGTCTCCACTTGCTGTTTCTCATATTGAGTTATTGAAATGACCCTTGTAGTTGTGAAATTTAGTTTGCCTCAAGCCACATTGATCCACATATTTGGTAGTTGCTCTTGACTTCCTCTTTGACAAGGTTCTGGAAGCACTTGTCAAGGATGTTTCATTCTTTAGTAGTATTATTTGGGACTGTTGCTGTTGTCTATGATTAGTTATTCATCGTCTGGTTCTGTGACACATTTTGTCAATTTTTTGAAGTCCTTGCTGGTGTATGGTAGATATAACCACACAAAGCTCTCTTTCTCTCTCTCTCTCTCTCTCTCCACTTAAATTTCTGGCTGAATTCAAGCCTTCCAGGTGTCTGTTTTATTGTTCCACATGAAAAGATGGGACATTGGTGAAAGAAAATTGCATTACTATACCCTTTTGGGAAATGTGGCTTAAATATAATTGTGCTGGTTAACTATAGATGAATATATATACATTGGACCAGATCGAGAGACTGGTCTGGGTCTCCTGCTATATTAACTATTAAGAATATTTATCACTGCTCTAGCTTTGTTTAATCAATGAAGGTTATATGAATCATTTAATTTGTGTCCTACATAACATGTTAAAAAAGAAAACTAGTGATTTTCATTGAGCCGTTATGTACTTGGCAAAATTCACAATAATTTCCAATTATTTGTCATCACTGCATTATAGGAGATGACCAGTTATAAATTTTCTGACATGATATCAATTATTGTCTAGTCTAATATTTTATAAAGTTATGATGATTTCCTGAAGCTAAGTACCAAGTTTTACTTATTGTACTCTCTCTCTCTCCACAGGATAATTGGGCTGAATGATCCAATCGTTCACACAAGGAGTTTATATGCTGCTCTAACTATCTCTTAATAGCGTCATATGATGTACCCATGCTACATTTTGGTGGCCTGTTAAATTGGTAAATGTTCTTTCATATGAAATCTGACAGAATGACACATGACAAGAAAAGGGAATGATGTCATACCTGATGTCATACTTGTAAATGAAATTGTAATGCTGTCATACCTGATGTCATGCTTTTGGTAGCCAGTTTTATTTATTTTTTGAATCGTGAATGTTGATATGTGGTAAAAATAGATGATAATATCTGACCAAAAAAAACAGCATGAGGCAGTTGTAAGATGTATTTGCAACAAGGAATGTCCCAATGTGCACCTTCTTACTAAAATATGGTGGGAATTGACTTCTCTAGGTGGAGGACGTGTAAACTACTGTTGTCTCCAAAACACTTAAAAGAACCTTAGCCGGGATAAATATAAATGATCTGCCATGACTTGGTTCATAATTTACGTCCATATTGTTTAGAGAGGAAGTGAAAGCCTTTGTACCAATCCAAAACTTCTTCTGCTGTAGTTTGGCCTCTAGATATTTAGTGGAAAGAAACCTCCATCAAATAAGAAAGTGCAGAGGATATAAATTATTCTCTCTTGGAAGTATATGATTTATCCGTTATTTTTTTATTTTTTATTTTTTTTGGTTTTATATAATTGTTATAGTTTTTTTTCTTTGAGAGTAGTTTTTATCATTTGAACAATTGACAACGTGGGATATGTATTTGCTGAAAATGGTCGTAATAATGCTATCAGAGAGAATGTCTACAAGTTCAAAATATCCCACAGTTTATTTCTCTGACTTGCTTAGAGAATCATCAAACAGCGACATCTTGCAGTTTTGTTGTCCAAATGCAATTTGTATTATTGAGGCAACACTAGCAAAGAATGATGCCCACTCCTAAACTACAATTTGGAGTTAGAAATGTATAGCATCGAAACTTGTAGAGAGTCCGTTCTTTATGGAATGGCTTGATTGGGTGAACCAGAAGCCTGTACCAGATACAAGCGACAACATGGTGTTCCATCATCAGGGTGGGTTTGTAGTGACCTGGGCAAGCTGCGAAGCTTGTTGAACAGATTTAGTGGATCATGCAACAGACCAAAATGGGCATCTGGATCTCCAATTTGTGAGAGACTAACATCAGAAAACCCTAGAGATGGCAGGAGATGATCAGGCCAATCACTATAGAAATGGAAAATGGAGCTGGAGAGCGTGGTTGAAGGCTTGTTCATGAAATCTGCTAAGAGGACTGTGTGGGTAAGAGTACAATTGGCAGCTATGATCTTCAGTACTTCCATGGCATGTGAGTGGGAGAGGTAGTAAAGGATGCCTTCTAGAACCCACACTGTATTCTTCTCTGGGACAAATCCTGATATCTGAAGCTTTTGGAGCCAGTCATTGTCTCTGATATCAGCTTCTACTCTGTTTAGAGATTTTGCTGTCATCTTCGCATGCTGGCAATCATTTGTTGATTCTGTTGCTGCCTGTAGAATAGTGGTTTTCATTTGCAAGACTTCAGGAAAGTCAACCTCAAAAACATCGGTTTCTTTCAAGCAACTTAATCGGTACGCCCTTGCATCCATTCCTGCAATGTAAGAAATTATATTTTGCTCAAAATTTGGTTTACACTTTGAATTTTACTTGGGAATTTGAATAATGAATTTGCTGAATTCTGTTTTGAGTGAAATATGAATGTTCTAAATGGGGGAGGCCAGGGTTCTTGGAAGAAAGCATACTCATTTAATACAACTGCCCAAAATTTAGGTTGATTAAACCAAGTTTTGGTTGAGCACATGCATGAAGCAATAGTTCCCAACAATTTGTAATGCATATTTTTGCTGCATTTCAATGTTTATGTTGTATGACAATAGCCTTTGTAGAGGTGACATGGTTATATTGATTAAGAAATAGACAAGGATTTCTTGTTAATATACGTGATTTGTTGTTTTGGAGGAGTTACCCTTGTTATATATACCCAATATTGTTTCTATATGTTTTGCTAAGTGAGATGAACTATAAGTTTGTGCTGTGAAAATGATATTGTGCCTTATAAACTATGATAAGTGCTTTTGTGCCTTTTTGCCTTAGGTGTTTTAAACTGGTGACGTTCCTTGTGTTAAGGCATAATGGATGAAACACTGATCCAGAAAGAGGAGGTCAATCTGTCAAAAATGACTAAACATGTATTTTGAATTTGGCACTTATTTTTTTGGACACGCTTTATGTTGGAAGCATTTGTTCGCTACAGGAAAACTTGCACATGACGGCGCTTAGAAGGATGTTTTCCAAAACTCTGCAAATAACCTGACTTTTGTTGCATTTATTGGTAAACGTCATTTAATATGCAGCCTTCGACGTCGTTTCAAATAACGTTGTTTAGTCGTAAACCAAAATGATGTCATTCAGCTACATCAAAATTTTAAATGGGTAAATACAACATTGACAAAACAAATTTCAAACCAATATAAGTTAAAAGAAACATAGTTCTAACTTATATTTGTGTATGTCAATACTCAAACCAATCCCTTCATCATGAAACCTCCATTTCTCCTCCGTTTACCACACAGAGATATACTTCTAGACTCTCCCTATCAAGCATACAAAAATAGCGAACACAACTGTTGATCGATATGAAATCAAGTGCAGCTTTCACCTTCAAGCTTTCCAATAAAGCTATATGTGTGATTCATAGATCTTATTTTCTGTTTTGTTGCTGGGTTGATTTCGATTTATTGGTTTTTATGTATAATCTCAGAGGACATCTTGTCCTCTCTTGGACTCTCATTCTTTTTATTTTAATAAATCCTTTTTGTTTCCAATCAAAAAGAAAAATAAAAAAAAAGGTGCCGGCTCCGTCTTCTTCACTCTCTCTCTCTCTATATATATATATATACATATATTTCAATTAGGGTTTCACTTTTGGCTCCTATGAAGTTAATTGATTTAAAGATCTCTTGAGCCGCAGTTAGATCAGATCAGTAAAAAAGTAGAGGACCACTGATCTCTTGTTCTTGATTTTGCTTCATATGATCAGAAGCTAAAGCTCAAGAACTCAAAACTCGTTAGGGTTTTCTCTGGTCTCTCTTGGAACTACACAGATCTAATCTCCAATCACACCTGGAAACATCTTTTGATGTTTGTGTCCATGTGACACCTTGTTTTGTTTTTATTGGGTTTTGCATTTCGATATATGCTATGTGTTGTGTTATACAAGTTTGTTGTGTTGAATTGTTATTCTCTCTCCTTCATCTACCTCATGTTTTTTGGGGACAGAAATGGATCAGTACCAGAGGGTCGAGAAGCCAGCAGCATAGGTACTCATGGATGGCAATGAGATTTGGATTACGAGTCAGGTCAGGATGCGAAGCTGTATGTTAGTGAATTCTGATGAGGTTTTGTCTCTGTGTCTAATCACCTTTATTTTGTTAAATATGTATATTGTCTGATAATTAAATTTGTCTATTGGTGTGTTCAAAGTAATTTCATCCCAAGGTTGGGAATAGTTAGCTCACAACGATCTTTTGTCCCAATTTTGGTTTTTATTGCTTTCCCATGGTCAATTCAATGAAAGTAAATGTTCCCAGTGTCCCACATGCATGCATGATTATCTTTTTTGTTAACAAGAGGTCATTTGCAATCTGATTTTTGGTGATATCAAAATTGGCTTTTTATCGACTTCTAAACCCATTGACATAGAATTGGGGTATGGGTTCAGTCCAAAGTTTCAGTAAAAGTTCACAGCATTGACTTTCTAGACAAATAGGGTCCTCTGTATTAGTGCATGTGTTCTATTTTTAAAAATAAAGCCTTTTTAAATCACTTTGGTTAAGAGGTTGGCTCTGTATCTGTTGTGTTTTTTCACTATTCTCAATTTGCCATGAGTAGCTTATTGACACTAATCTTTATTGCAGGTTGCAAATACAGTGCAAGAACCAATGAATTTGTGAACAATGAGGATATGTTGATGTATAATATCAAAGCTCTAGTTATTTTAATCCAGGTATCGAGTTTTATGTACTGTTAGCTAGAATGCAGTTCATATATTAGGCAATTTATTGAGTTACAGAGAGAGATGCCTATGTGATTATTTATACTGCCTGGATAAAGAAAACATGACTTATATTTTAACTCATGTTTTAGCATTAGTATATTATTCTTGTGTGTGTTCCTTATCATAGTTTCGTTTATTTCTACATTTCCTTTTGATTCTTTTCATTTTTTCCTGATTGCGATTCTACAGATTGATGGATATCAGACAGTTCGTAGGAGGAAACATGTTTGCTACTTCTTTAAGACAAATAGCCACTGTTTAAGAAGCAAGCTTCAAGAAGAGACACAAGTTGTATGATTTAGGAATTCGTACAGGTTAATTTTTTAAAATTCTGACTCGGGTTGTAGCCCAAGTGATCTTGTGCCCAAAAAAATAATTAAAAAATACTGAAATTGACGAGTGCTATTGTATTCACCAACCTGCACCGAGAAGAACAACCTGGGCTGCTCCACCGTAGAAGGAATTGAGTGCGGCTTCAATTTTTGAATCAAACCACATGGTCCTAACAGCAAGAATCACTCCGGAGACTTCCCTAGCATTGGTGAGCCGATCTTTCTTTATCTTTCCATAAAGACTTCTCAGGTACGTCTCTCCTGCGAATAACTCTGCTAGTGGATCATGAACCACATGATTCCATAATGCTCTTCCGGCAGCTGTCTGGCACGCTGACTGCCGAAGCGAATCCCACTCATTTTCAATACTAGCATGGATCTGTTGGACAGTGTCAGTAAATAACAAGTCCGGTAGCTTTAGTTCTGGCCATGACTGGTCTTCAAGCTTGCCATTTTGTTCTTCTGACATGGTTTTTTCTTGTTTGTTTCTTAACAGGTATGTTGAGAGAGAATGTATGGAATATATAGCAGAAATGGTGTTTGAGGAGGGAAGACATTGGAGGGAAGGGATAAGGAAAAAGAGAGCCACACACAAAACTAATGTCTCACAAAAAAAGCTGAATCGTATCCAGCTTCTTTACCTTAATGAAAAGGGAAGGTATTGAGGAGTCCACGACTACCACACCCACCAATTTCATTCATTCATTCATATGCTTTCAGCTTTCAGCTTTCTCTCTCTAAACCTGTCTATTTTGAGTGGAAAAAGAGTAAATAAGTAATGGGCTCCCACTTGAAGTGACCTATCATCACAAGTAAGTGGTTCCCACTCGAGCCTAATCAATCTGAAAGTGTTATAGCATTGTCCTTAACAAACAAACAAACAAACAAAAAAACAAAGCTGTTATGGAGGTGTTTGTAAATTTTTTATTGTATAAATTTGCATCAAGAGTAGTTGGTACAATTTTTTTCTTACATTATAAGGCAAAATAGTTTGTAGTCTTGCTTGGAGTTTGACTTTTTTAGTGACTTTTTGGCTTTTTTTAGAAGGTGAAAAAAGTTAATGTGTTTGGAAATATTTTTATTAGTTTTATGAAAAAAAGTGATTGGCTCTTTTGGTAGGTTTTTTTTTATTTTTTTATTTTAAATTACTTTTTGGCTTATAAATGAAATGAAATAAAATCAATAATCCGGTTATGAAATTAAGGAGGAAAAGTATGAGAAAAGTACTGAGATTGGCAACTAGAGAGGCAGTGACATCACGAAATAAACAACCTGACCAATCATAGGCGGCAACGATGATGCCAAGGATGCTTGATCATTTTGGTGGCTTTAGATTGATCATTCTGAAATTGAATTAGGTACTTAATCTATTTGTATATGCAGATATATCTGGATGCCTCAGTGGTCTAGTGTTCTCATATGTACACTATATGGGTGATTTTAGCCAAAAACTATGTATAAGAAATATTCTCAGCACAAAAAATCAGAAATGAGACCAGAGAAAAAAAAAGGAAAAAAATTCAAGTATTTTGTTCTGTTTAATAAATGTAGCAGTAGTGATGCAAGTCCCACACAATTATAAGATTTGTAGATATGATGGCAACACAGACAAGCATTTAGAATTCGGATTGTGAACTATATTAAACATCTCATTTGATCAATAGTTTTCCTCATAAGATCTTGATTGCTGGTAAAACAATTAACATAAATAATTGTCTCTTTAAAGTATACAAGATCACCCTGCACATTCAATAAAGTCAATCAAACACATGTAGCAATAGCTATTTTAACAAAGCTATTTTAGATCAACTTAAAATACACTTATGATTAACGAATCGAAGTTGGAACAAATATACATTTAGCATCCATTTAAGTATAAAAGCAGAAAATTTTAGAACAATCCATAAAAATTGTCATATCTACAAACTGAAAAAAAAGAAAAAAAAAAGAGGTAAAGATTAAATAAAAATGACATATTGATTTTATTAATACATTAAACAGTTTCCAGATTATTCATAAATACTCAGAGATGTCTAAATGTAAGGCATAACTTCTCTATTACCACTTCTCCAAAATTATATTATCATAAAATTAAGCAAGAAGCTTCCTACTGATGTGAATGGTGGCAAGCTCAAGTATTTCGAACAAGAGCTCTTGGAAGAAATAATGTCATCTTCACTGCTAAACCCAATTAGACATTCTCAAGGCTGCAATAAGTTAAAATATCAAAATAGGCATTAGAGTTTCTTCATTGTCGGGAAAATCAGAGACAAATGTGAATCAAAACAAAGAGCCTCTGAAAACAAAGAAATCAAAAGACCCATAGAACATTTGATGAACAATACCAATTTATTCAAACACCTAATTCACCAGTTACCAAGAATTTGAACTTTAAGTAGGTTCATAACAAAAGAGTATACAAGAAAAGTGGTTATAATTTGCCCAAAGTCTCTACTTAAACTATTACGGCAATTGTGATCATGTTTAATTTTGAGTTAATTCAATACCCACCAATTTTATTTTGAGGTTCTTATTTCCAGTGGTTACCAATAACGCAGTTGATTCAATTCCAAAAGCAAATCAGATTATGTGGGTCAAAATATATTAAAAATCTAAAGAGGTTTTTTTTTTTTTTTTGAAGGTTTGACAAAGAAAAAAGGGCTTGATGCAACTAAGCTATATTCTAAATATCCAAAATTAAGAACATTAGAATATTAAAAATAAAAAATAAAAAGAATGATATCATGAGAGAAGAAATTATGCCCATATTTTTAAAAGTTGTAAAATTTCCTCTAGAGATGCAATATAGACCAGATTATGTTTAAAATTCGTCTAGAACTAAGAGTTATAGAAAAATTCTCTCTTTTTTATTTTTACTTTAATTTTTATCGGTTCTACTTGCAGATCAAACAACACAAGCATAGAATTCTAAAAACACTGGAGACATTTGAATTTAAAAAACGCATTTGATATCTTAGGGATCTGAAGTGATACATCCCCTCCTAAACGTAGGCTCTTTTAGGGGCAATGATCCACATGGTATTGTGGAAACTGCAACACACACTCTATCTCCATGATTGAAGACGCCTTCATAAGTATTAGAGAGAGGAGTTGAGAGATAACAATAAATAAATAAAAAATAAAAAAATAGGGGAATTAATAAATCAGTGTTTTTTCCCTGAAGAAATTACTAACTCATGGAAAAGTCATTTCAATTAGTAAAATTTGTAAAGTTTATCACTAATTTGAAATTGTTTTTACAACTATACACTGAACTGTTAATTCCCCCCAAAACTATCCATTTTATGAAAGAAAATAACAAAAAATAAAAAAAGAAACAGAGATACACATAGTATTGAACCCAACTCTACACTTTCTCTTAGGAAAATATAGCAAATTAAAACTACAAAAGGATACACATCAGATGCCTCATAAGCTTCTACATAAATCTCAGGTTTATATAAATAAAATAAAAAAACCAGCAAAAAAAAAAAAAAAAAAAAAAAAAAAAAAAAAAAAAAAAAAAAAAAAAAGAAGAAGAAGAAGAAGAAGAAGGAAAGAAGCAAACTGAATCCTGCACTAGACAGTGTCCTTAAAACAAATTTGCCGCTTCACCGGTTGGATGCTAGAGGTTGTTCGACGTTTGTCTCTCAAGATACGATGGTTGGACTAGCTACAACAATGCACTGACTGAGTAGTTTCGGTGAACAGAACTTTGACAGAACTCTCTCACTAGGAAGAATATAAAATCTAGAGAAAACTTTGGCAGACAGAGAGGAGAAAATTTTCTAGGTAGAAAATTGAAGGAGAAGAGTCTCCTTTTATACACATGGAGGGAGAAAGGAAGAGGCTCTAGCCATCAAGGCTCCTCACAAATGCAGAAAGGAATTCTGTATTAAACTTGCAAAACTGCTGGAATAATTCACCATCATTATAGAGGAGTTACACACATATTATATATCTGTGTAATGTATATAATTTTGCAACCTACAACATTAGCTTGGCCCAAAGAGATTAAGATGGGTGGGCCAACCCTTACACTCAATCCATTCTAGCAAGCCTTAAGCCTTAAACCTCAAGCCTCAAGCCCAAGCCCAAGTCCCAAGATCCACAATCCACGACCCACGACCTACGGATTACGGACCGTAGACCCGGTCCGGTCATGTGTGGCAATTTTCTCATAACCAACTTAGACCATAGTCTTGGCCCAAGTGCATCCTTAAAGCATCTATAACTCCCTTCCTTCGAAAAATTTGAATACGCCAAAGACCTCACACCCTTAGGCAAAAAATAGGATTTAAATACCCATCAATGCTGTTATCTACAATCAATGTAGGATACAAGATTTTACACATTTCTTAACTTCTCTTTCATGAGGCGAACTTATTGAGTCAATTTCTCGTTCAAATCTTAATGGTTTTTGGTCATTCTTTTTGTGGTGTAAAGATTTCATTACAAAGAATCTAAATTCACTTTAATCCACCTCAATTGAAGATTGGCACCCACTTTAATATTGCATTAAAGTCACCAAAAAATCATTATTTTTCAACAATCCCCTACATGAATAAAAATTGACCGAATAACAACAAACGGACAACGCTTGACAACAAAGACTCGGAGAGAGTGCAACGGAATAACCGTGGCATCGGAAAGGGTAGCTTTTGGTTTTGAACCCCTCCTAGTGAAGTCTATCGGATTTACTGGCTGCCCAGTTAACACGAAGTTTTGAACTGTTTTTCCGTTTAACCAAGACAACAAACCTCACACAGGAATTACTCCAACCATCGTTCTATTCTCACTGTTGTGTCCAGTTTGGCCCTAACACACTAGCCTTGTTTAGTGAGTGGTTTAAAGATTTAGGCCCTGTCAATTCTTATAGAAGCGACCCCATTTCATACTCAAATAGTTGACTCTACTTAAGTATCTTGCTATACTCAGCTTAACACACTAGTGTCATTAAAAGCTCAGCTTAACCTTTACATTTGCATGTATCCCTAATAAAAGGAATGGCTAGAGGTTTTAACCTCCTCAATGACATACCACTGTTATACGTAATTAGGTTGTCCTATTGAACCTAGATCTTGGGATCTCCAATCTACTAGGTTGGGTTTCCATTTCGGTAACAACTTACACTAAAGGCCTTAAACTCATTCTTTCTGACGAATTCTATACTAATACTCAATTTAACCCTTTGGTTAGCGGATCCGTAATGTTGTCCTTAGACTTTACATAGTCTAAAGTGACAACTCCGTTCGAGAGTAGTTGTCGTATGGAATTATGTCTACGCCAGATATGTCTAGACTTTTCATTATACATACTACTATGTGCTGTCCAATCGCCGATTGGCTGTCATAATTAGGGGTGTGCGCGGTGCGATTCGGACGGTTTGAGGGTAAAATTACAAACCAAATGGCGGGTTGGCGGATTAGCGAATTGACAAATTGCGGTTTGAGCAGTTTTTGGCAGATTGGCGGATTGAAAAATATTCTAACTAATTATCATATATTTGCATATATATAATACTAATTTGTATAATATTTTTTAGATATATAACACAAAGTAATTTTATATAATATGTTTCATATATATAACTACTAATTTGTAATAAATTTCATATCTTAAATATCTCTTACACTCATTTTTACATTGATATTTCATT